GTTGTTGAATAATATTAATTTAATATTAAATATTAAATTACTCAGCATGTGGTCCTCAATGGAACCGCATCTATATGGAGGGAAGCGTGTAGTGGGGTACCCCAAGGCTCTGTTCTGGGCCCAGTGCTCTTCAACATCTTCATCAACGATTTGGATGAGGGGATAGATGGGGAACTCATCAAATTTGCAGATGACACCAAGCTGGCAGGAATAGCCAACACTCCAGAAGACAGGCTTAGGATACAGGAGGATCTGGACAGACTTGAACACTGGATGCTATCTAACAAAATGAAATTCAATGGTGAAAAAAGTAAGGTTCTACATTTAGGCAAGAAAAACCAAATGTACAGGGAAAGTATAGGGGGTACCTTGCTCAATAGTAGTAACTGTGAGAGGGACCTTGGAGTCCTAGTGGACAATCACTTAAATAGGAGCCAGACGTGTGCAGCAGCTGCCAAAAAGGCCAACACAGTGCTGGGCTGCATTAACAGGGATAGAATCAAGATCACGTGAAGTATTAATACCACTTTACAAGGCCTTGGTAAGGCCACACTTGGAATACTGCATCCAGTTTTGGTCACCACAATGTAAAAAAGATGCTGAGACTCTAAAAAGAGTACAGAGAAGAGCAACAAAGATGATCAGGGGACTGGAGGCTAAAACATATAAGGAATGGTTGCTGGAATTGGGTATATCTAGTTTAATGAAGAGAAGGACAAGAGGGGACATGATAGCAGTGTTCCAGTATCTCAGGGGTTGCCACAAAGAAGAGGGAGTCAAGCTATTCTCCAAAGCACCCGAAGGCAGGACAAGAAGCAACGGATGGAAACTGATCAAAGAGAGAAGCAACCTAGAACTAAGGAGAAACTTCCTGACAGTTAGAACAATTAACCAGTGGAACAACCTGCCTCCAGAAGTTGTGAGTGCTCCAACACTGGAAGTTTTTAAGAAGAGACTGGACAGCCATTTGTCTGAAATGGTATAGGGTTTCCTGCCTGAGCAGGGGGGCTGGACTAGAAGACCTCCAAGGTCCCTTCCAACTTTATTATTATTATTATTATAAATTCATTCTTGCAGAATGTAAGCTGTTCCAAGTCAGGCTGCCTTTCGCAATTGACCAATGGTAGATTTGTCTATGTCGATGGTTATACTGGTGCTTCAGATGTTTTGGGATTGCACCCAACGCGCCTGTTATTATTGGGACTACCTTTGCTTTCTTTTGCCGCAGTCGTTCTATTTCTACTTGCGGGTTTTTGTATTTTGTAATCTTCTCCATTTCTTTCTCTTCTGCCGTCTCCAGGTACTGTCCTGTCCGCTATCCAGACTTTTTTTGTCTTTCTGACCGACAGTTTATAATATAATATAATAATATAACAATAGTAAAGTTGGAAGGGACCTTGAAGGTCATCTAGTCCAACCCCCTGCTCAGGCAGGAAGCCCTATACCATTTCGGACAAATGGCTGTCCAGTCTCTTCTTAAAGACTTCCAGTGTTGGGGCATTCACCGCTTCTGGAGGCAGGTTGTTCCACTGGTTAATTGTTCTCACTGTCAGGAAGTTTCTCCTTAGTTCTAGGTTGCTTCTCTCCTTGATCAGTTTCCATCCGTTGCTTCTTGTCCTGCCTCCAGGCACTTTGGAGAATAGCTTGACTCCCTCTTCTTTGGGGCAGCCCTTGAGATATTGGAAGATTGCTATCATGTCTCCCTTCGCCCTTCTCTTCATTAAACTAGACATACCCAATTCCAGCAGCCTTTCCTTATATGCTTTAGCCTCCAGTCCCCTAATCATCTTTGTTGCTCTTCTCTGTACTCTTTCTAAAGTCTCAACATCTTTTTTACATCGCGGTGACCAAAACTGGATGCAGAATTCCAAGTGTGGCCTTACCAAGGCCTTGTAAAGTGGTATTAACACTTCACGTGATCTTGATTCTATCCCTCTGTTAATGCAGCCTAGCACTGTGTTGCTACTTTGCTTTGCGGCTGTTCGTAATCCCTCTGTGCGCGATCTACTTACATCAGGATGATCCCCTGTTGTTTCTTCAGCTTCTTTGCCTAGAGTAGACCAAGGGTAGGCAACTTTGGCTCTTTTATGACTCGTGGACTTCAACTCCCAGAATTCCTGAGCCAGCCATGCTGAGGGGAAAGGGAGAGATTTCCAAAGTGAGCGATGCTGGCTCAGGAATTCTGGGAGTTGAAGTCCACGAGTCATAAAAGAGCCAAGGTTGCCTACCCCGGCCTAGATGGTAGATAGATGATGATAGATAGATGATAGATGATGATAGATAGATAGATAGATAGATAGATAGATAGATAGATAGATAGATAGATAGATAGATAGATAGATAGATAGATAGATAGATAGATAGATAGATAGACAGATAGATAGACAGACAGACAGACAGACAGACAGACAGACAGACAGACACCTAGACCAGAGGTAGGCAACCTTGGCTCTTTTATGACTCGTGGACTTCAATTCCCAGAATTCCTGAGCCAGCCATGCTGAGGGGACAGAAAGAAGTTTCCAAGCTGAGCCATGCCAGCTCAGGAATTTTGGGAGTTGAAGTCCACGAGTCATAAAAGAGCCAAGGTTGCCTACCCCTGGCCTAGACGGCGTTTGCTGTCTGTTGCTCCTTTCTCAATTCTGGCTTTGCGTGTATTTGTTGTTAATTTTTCTTAATTGCTAGAATGGAACAGCAGATCTTAAAATGTCCTTTTTATAAGAATGCTTTAGTTGAGGGGGGGGAATGCAAGATAAGCTGATGGCAGGAGACAAGTTGTGATTAATCTCCAGAAAGAGAGGAATTTGCAATATGAGGCTGCCAACAAAATTTCATCAGAATTCTGTCTCTCTCTCTCTTTCCCTCCCTCTCTCTCTCTCTCTCCATCTCTCTCCTCCCTTTCTTTCTGCCTTTGAATCAAATTTGACACCTGGCAAGAATAAAATGTGGTTTGCGGTACCTTGCCACTCTTCGTAGACTTAACCCTCTGGGGAGATGTTAGAAAACAGAGCAAAGAGAGAAGACAGGGATGAAAATTCAGCGAGGCTGAACGAATCTTCCTCTCTTCTGACCATTTTTCATTGTCTAATCTTACATTTTTGTTTCTGCTCATTTTGATTTGCAGCTTCCTGGGAGCCTGGAGGGGGGGAGAAATAGGGTAGTGTTTTTCTTAACATCTCCATTTTGGGACAAAATGACACCTCGTTATAAGCAGCCTCCAAAACGAGATCTTTCCCTAATTTAGAAACTTAAGTTTAATTTAGAGCAGTGTTGCCCAACCTCAGCATGTTTTAAGAGGGGTGGACTTCAACTCCCAGAATTCCCCAGCCAGCATAGGTTGTATATGTATAATGTGCAGCATCCGCAGCCAAAAGAAGCGAATACAACCCTGGGTTGTATCAACAGAGGCATAGGATCAAAATCACGACAAGTATTAGTACTCCTTTATAAAGCTTTAGTAAGACCACACCTGGAGTACGGCATCCAGTTTTGGTCCCCAGGTTACAAAAAAGATGTTGAGACTTTGGAAAAAGTGCAGAGAAGAGCAACTAAGATGATTAAAGGCTTGGGGACAAAAACACATGAAGAACGGTTGCAGGTTTTGGATATGGCTAGTTCTAGAGAAAAGAAGGACTGGGGGGGCGTGACAGTAGTATTCCAGTATTTGAGGGGCTGCCACAAGGAGGAGGGGGTCAACTTATTCTCCAAAGCACCAGAAGGCAAGACAAGAAACAACTAATCAAAGAGAGAAGCAACCGTGGAATTAAGGAGAAACTTCCTAACAGTGAGGACAATTAACCAGTGGAACAGCTTGCCACCAGGTGCTCCATCCCTGGAGGTTTTTAAGAAGAGACTGGGCAGCCATCTGTCTGAAATGGTATAGGGTCCCCTGCTTGAGCAGGAGGTTAGACTAGAAGACCTCCAAGGTCCCTTCCAGCTCTGTTCTGATTGACTGAAGCATCTTAAACAGGCCAAGGATGAGAAACAGGGATATAGAGAATTCAAATCCACTTTGAGCATCGTATGACTTTGGACCAGTCCCTCTCTCAGCAAATCTATCTTGCCATGGTTGTGCTTGGTGAACCTGGAAGAAAATAAGACTATATGTAACCCTTGACATATGACCATAATGGAGCCTAACCATTATGGGGAATAGAAACAGAATGGAATGGAATAGAATTAGAAGAATAGAATAGAATAGAATAGAATAGAATAGAATAGAATAGAATAGAATAGAATAGAATAGAAAATAGAATAGAATAGAATAGAAATTAGATTAGAATAGAATAGAATAGAATAGAATAGAATAGAATAGAAATTAGATTAGAATAGAATAGAAATTAGATTAGAATAGAAATTAGACTAGAATAGAATAGAATAAAACAGAGAATAAATAGAATAGACTAGGCTAGAAATTAGACTAGACTAGACTAAAATAAAATAGAATAGAATAGAAAATAGAATAGAATAGAGAATAGAATAGAAAATAGAATAGAATAGAATAGAAAATAGAATAGAATAGAAATTAGAATAGAATAGAATAGAACAAAGAATAAATAGACTAGACTAGAAATTAGACTAGACTAGACTAAAATAGACTAGAATAGAAAATAGACTAGAATAGAAAATAGACTAGAATAGAATAGAATAGAATAGAATAGAATAGTTGGAAGGGACCTTGGAGGTCATCTAGTCCAACCCCCCGCTCAGGCAGGAAACCCTATCCCATTTCAGACAAATGGCTGTCCAATCTCTTCTTAAAAACCTCCAGTACGGGAGCAGTCACAACTTTTGGAGGTTCCACTGGTTAATTGTTCTAACGCTCAGGAAGTTTCTCCTTAGTTCCAGGTTGTAGGTCATCACACTCTGGTTGAGTGAAATGCTCCTCAGAGGACATCCCAACCTGCTTGTGTAGATGATTATGCTGTAATAGATGATGAGGTTGTTGTTGTTGGTGATGATGATGATGATGATGGATGCTTTTTGTTCCCATCTCTCAGGGAAGATGGATCCCTTCAGCACTAAGAACCTGGCTCTCCAAGCTCAGAAGAAGCTGCTGAGCAAGATGGCCTCCAAGAACATGGCCAGCATCTTCATCGACGACACCAGCAGCGAGATCCTGGACGAGCTGTACCGGGTCACCAAGGAGTTCACTCACAATCGCAAAGAAGCCCAGAAGGTCATCAAGAACCTGATCAAGATCGTCGTGAAGTTGGGCGTGTTGTACCGCAACAAGCAGTTTGGCGTGGAAGAGCTGCTCTTGATGGACCGCTTCCGCAAGAAGGTCCACACCTTGGCCATGACCGCCGTCAGCTTCTACCAGATAGACTTCACCTTTGACCGCCGGATCATGGCCAACATGCTCAACGAATGCCGGGACCTGCTCCACCAAGCCATCAACACTCACTTGACCGCCAAGTCCCACTCTCGGATCAACCACGTCTTCAACCATTTTGCGGACTTCGAGTTCCTCTCGGCCCTCTACGGCTCTTCCGAGCCTTACCAGACCCACCTGCAGCGGATCTGCGAAGGGCTGAACCAAATGCTGGATGAAGGCAACATCTGAAAAAAACCCACTGTTGTCTTAAGGACCCAGCTGTGGGACTCCGTCGCTTGGGTTTCACCCCCTCTGGATGTGCTTCTGATGTAATTTAGTGGTATTTTAAGAATGAGATTGTGGGTGTGTGTTTTGTTTTGTTTTTGTTTTAGTTATGGATGGTTTCACCTTGGGTTTTTTCACGGTCCTCTCCGAGGAATGAGCGGGGTTTGTAAAGGTTTTGGAGGAAGGCAATTAGGGCCAACCGCCATTTCTTGGGTTTATTGATTTATTGGAGAGCACGATTAAAGACCATCTTCCAGATTTGCCTCTGAACAGAACAGAATAACAGAATTGGGAGGGACCTTGGAGGTCTAGTCCAACCCCTTGCTCAGGCAGGAAACACCATAGCATTTCAGACAAATGGTTGTCCAATCTCTTCTTAAAAACATCCAGTGCTGGAACATCCACAACATTTGAAGGCAAGCTGTTCCACTGGTTAATTGTTCTGACTGTTAGGTAATTTCTCCTTAGTTCTAGCTTGGATTTCTCTTTGATGAGTTTCCATCCATTGCTTCTTGTCCGGCCTTCAGGCACTTTGGAGAATAGCTTGACTCCCTCTTTTTTGGGGCAGCCCCTGAGATACTGGAAGACTGCTATCAGGTCACCCCTCGTATTTCTCGTCATTAAGCTAGACATACCCAATTCCAGCAACCGTTCCTCATATGTTGTAGCCTCCAGTCCCCTAATCATATTTGTTGCTCTTCTCTGCACTTCTGCATCTGGTCTTCTAGAACAGAAGATGCATCCATGGGAGCAACTAAACCAAAGATTAAACTTGGCTGGGCCTGCTAACTCTGGCAGTCTTTCGCCGATCTTTTCAAGGCGCTCCTTCAGCCAAGTGGGACCTTGGTGGGCCTTTTTCCCAACGTGGGGAGATATTTCACAAAGTAAATATGAACAAGGTATCTCCGAAGTATATATTTCACAAATAGATCTCAGCAGCCTACAGGAAATTCTTCTGAGGTATCACTTCCTAAAACAAAGCTACTGAATGTAGAAATGTAGATTCTATACTTCCATGGTACTCAACACTTAAAGATCGCAATGAAGTCTTCCTCCTCCTCCTCCTCCTCCTCCTCCTCCTCCTCCTCTCCACACATCCATCTCCCTTCTAGCACTGATGATGTTCCTTAGTTAGGGTCATGAAACGTCTGCAAGAAAACAAGCAAGCTCAGAGAGCACCCAGGACCCCAGTCTTTCTTCTTCTTCTTCTTTTCTTCTTCTTCTTCTTCTTCTTCTTCTTCTTCTTCTTCTTCTTCTTCTTCTTCTTCTTCTTCTTCTTCTTCTTCTTCTTCTTCTTCTTCTTCTTCTTCTTCTTCTTCTTCTTCTTCTTCTTCTTCTTTTCTTCTTCTTCTTCTTCTTCTTCTTCTTCTTCTTCTTCTTCTTCTTCTTCTTCTTCTTCTTCTTCTTCTTNTCAGGGCGGCTAACAGCCTCATAAAAACTACAATACAAATACAATAATTAAAAGCCGAATTAAAAAGAAATATTTAAACAGGCCGATCATTAAAATTGTCCTTAAAAATCCCCTAAAAAACCCCGCTAAAATTCCCTAGGCCAGACCCGCTTGTTGGAAAAGCCATGTCTTTAGGGCGCGGCGGAAGGAGGGGAGATCCCTCCTTCTTCTTCTTCTTCTTCTTCTTCTTCTTCTTCTTCTTCTTCTTCTTCTTCTTCTTCTTCTTCTTCCTCTTCCTCTTCCTCTTCCTCCTCCTCCTCCTCCCTCCTCCTCCTCCTCCTCCTCCCCCCCACACACCCGTCTCCCTTTTAGCATTGATGATGTTTCCTATTTGGGTAATGAAACGTCTGCAAGGAAACAAGCAAGCTCAGAGAGCGCCAAGGACCCCTCACTTAAATGTCCACTTCCATCTAGCAGTTCATTTAGCTTGGCAATCAGCAGGAGCTCCTATGGAAATACTTAAAAGTTGGAAGGAACCTTGAGGGCATCCATCTGATCTGAGAGAAAAGCTGCATTAAAGCACCAACAACAGATGGCTGTCCAGCCTTCACTGTCAAAAATCAAAGGACTTTTTTTCCCCCCTTGTAACATTCATCTAGATTCTGTCTCTCTCTAATTTGATTCCGTGCCCTGCCCTCTGGAGGAGTGTTTTTCAAACTTGCCAACTTTAAGATGGCTGGACGCCCAGAATTCCCCAGCCTGCGTGGTTTAAGATGGGTGTCTGTGGAGATTCTTGATAAATCCTTCCATTCCCCACCAACCAGTCAGAGTTGAAGAAGCTTCTTGGATAAGAAGCAAAACATCTTCAAAGAAAAGGAAGAACGTCCAGTTGCCTCTTGAAAAAAGTGCTTTTGGGTTTTTAGATGGGTGGACTTCAACTCCCAGAATCCCCCAGCCAGCTTGCTTTAAGATGGGTGGACTTCAGTTCCCAGAATTCCCCAGCCAGCTTGCTTTAAGATGGGTAGTCTTCAATTCCCAGAATTCCACAGCCAGCTTGCTTTAGGATGGGTGGTCTTCAATTCCCAGAATTCCCCAGCCAGCTTGCTTTAGGATGGGTGGTCTTCAATTCCCAGAATTTCCCAGCCAGCTTGCTTTAAGATGGGTGGACTTCAACTCCCAGAATTCCCCATCCAAAAATGTTTTAAGAGAGGTGGACTTTGATTCCCAGAATCCCCCAGCCAGCATGCTTTAAGAAGGGTGGACTTCAATTCCCAGAATTCCCCAGCCCGCATGCTTTAAGATGGGTGGTCTTCGGCCAGAATTCCCCAGCCAGCCATGCTCTAAGATGGGTGGACTTCAACTCCCAGAATCCCCTGGTCAGCATGCATGCAAACAAACCTTCCAACTGTTTCACCTAACTGAAAATGCTGGGAAAAGCCTGAAAAAAATAAAATAAAATAAAATTATCTTCCTCTCCTGGATGACTCCAGTTCCTTAGAAAGGCTGGCAGGGAAGTTGGTTGGCAAAATGTTTTTCCTCTTTGATTCTTTCCAAAAATTAGTGCGAAGTGCAGATGGGCTGGGTTTTGTGTGTGTGTGTGTGTGTTTGGTTGTTTGAACAGTTACAACCCTGCCCCTCCGGGCTAGTAAACTATTTGTTGAAGCACAGACTTCATTGCAAGAGAAACTAATGCCAGATCTCGCAATGTGTTCCCCACCCACATTCTGGCAGAGAGGAGGAGGAAGAAGAAAAGAATGCGAGTCGGCCTTTAGGATTTGATCTCTGCAGATCCCTCTAATCTGGAATGCTCTCTGCAGATGGCAAACCGGATTCTGCGTTTGCTTGGGGCGCCAAAATAAAATCGGAAGGAATCTGGGAGCGCCGTTTTGGGAACGCGCCAATTCTATTGGGGTGCCGCGTTCAAGTCTACAAGTCTGAATTTTGAATTTTTGAAAGAAAAAAAAAAGCATTCGGTCCTAGAAGCACCAAATCAGGGATATAAATGGGAATGGATAGGGTTTCTTGCCTGAGCAGGGGATTGGACTAGATCAGGGATAGGCAACCTTGGCTCTTTTATGACTCGTGGACTTCAACTCCCAGAATTCCTGAGCCAGCCACGCTGAGGGGAAAGGGGGAGGTTTCCATGCTGAGCCATGCTGACTCAGGAATTCTGGGAGTTGAAGTCCATGAGTCATAAAAGAGCCAAGGTGGCCTAGCCCTGCTATAGACCAACTATACATCCGGTGGAACTACTGGTTTGTACCTTTAGAGCAGGGGTCTTCAAACGTGGCCCTTTGATGACTTGTGGACTTCAACTCCCAGAATTCCTGAGCCAGCATGGGGGAACTATGGCCCCTTCATGACTCGTGGACTTCAACTCCCAGACTTCCTGAGCCAGCCATGCTGAGGGGAAAGGGAGAGGTTTCCAAGCTGAGCCATGCTGACAGGAATTCTGGGAGTTGAAGTCCACCAGTCATAAAAGAGCCAAGGTTGCCTATCCCTGACCTAGATGATAGATAGACAGACAGACAGATGATAGATACACCTAGATCAGGGGGTAGGCAACCTTGGCCCTTTTATGACTCGTAGACTTCAACTCCCAGAATTCCTGAGCCAGCCACGCTGAGGGGAAAGGGAGAGGTTTCTAAGCTGAGCCATGCTGGCTCAGGAATTCTGGGAGTTGAAGTCCACGAGTCATGAGGGGGGCCATAGTTCCCCCATGCTGGCTCAGGAATTCTGGGAGTTGAAGTCCAGGAGTCATAAAAGAGCCAAGGTTGCCTACCCCTGGGCTAGGGGATTCTGGGAGTTGGGGGAACTATGGCCCCTTCATTACTTGTGGACGCATGCCTGGCTGAGGAATTCTGGGAGTTGAAGTCCACAAGTCATAAAAGGGCCAAGTTTGAAGACCCCTGACCTAGATAGTGGACAAGGCAAGAGACTGGGAGGAAACCCTCCCCATTTTCTCAGCCTCTAAAGAGGGGGAGGAGAGATGCTGCCTAGGGAAGGGTCAGATAAGCGAGGGAGTAGCCCAAAGCTGCATAACAGGTGGAGAAAGAGACACACTCAATCAGAACAGAGCTGGAAGGGACCTTGGAGATCTTCTAGTCCAGCCCCCCTGCTCAAGCAGGAGACCCTATACCATTTCAGACAAGTGGCTGTCCGGTCTCTCCTTAAAAACCTCCAGTGATGGAGCACCCACAACATCTGGTGGCAAGCTGTTCCACTGGTTAATTCTTTTCACCCATTGTTTCTGGTCTTTCCTTTCGGTGCTTTGGAAAATAAGTTGACCCCCCCTCCTTCTCTTTGGGGCAGCCCCTCAAATACTGGAAGACTGCTATCCTGTCACCCCTAATCCTTCTTCTCATTAAAGTAGGCTTACCCAATTTTTGCAGCCGTTCTTTATATTTAGTTTTAGTCTCCAGGCCTTTAATCACAATTCGTTGCTCTTCTCTGCAGCTGATGTTCTGTGCATCCAAGCCTCCCAATTCTGGCAAGAACCTCTGGGGGCCCAAAGGGATTAGCCACCATTCACCGCAACCAGGAAAGTCCTCCGGATGTGGGTTTAAGAAAAACAAAGCATCCAAATTGCAAAGCCTGGATACCGCCATCCAGGCTCTTCCTGGTTTGTTTGTTTTTTTTAATCTGCCCGTAGATAATTTCAGAGCTCCTTGGCTGAGGTGACTGCC